AGATGTGACCTGTTTGATCTCCTCCCTGTGTATGGACAGTGGAGTATGATCCCCCACTGACCGTGGGTCCAACACCATCTCCTCAGTTTTTCAAGTGTTAATGATGAGATGGTTCTCATCACACCCATAAAAGTTGGAACAGGGGGGCCGGGTGAGCGGCCGCTCCCCCTCTCCCCCCCCCCCTCCATCAGCCCCATACTGCCCCAAGTCTTTTTTTTTTTTTAATAAAGAATCTGAATTCAAATGTGTCTGACTTACATTTATGTCTTTCATATCATAAAAAATATATGCTTTCTATATCTTGTACGCAGCCTAATGAAATGTACCAGATGTAGCCTATAGAGACAGTGCAATTTGAAAAACGTCTCCTTTGTTTTGATACGTAAGCGTGCGCATTGTTTATTTCCTGTTAGCTAGCAAAGGCGGTAAATTCAAGCAACGATCAGGACAATGTCAGAGAAGCGGATTTCGTATTTCTTTTCTAAAGCTCACACTGGCCCTCATTTATCAAATTTGCGTAGGATCTGGTGTAAATTCTGGTGTAAATATCAGCGTTCTCCAGGCGTCACGTCTGATTTACTAAAAGTGTGTACGTCGCTGATTTCGGTGTAGAACTGGCGTAGCGTTGATAAATCTGGCGGCTGAAACCATCGTAATTTACATGACACGCCCCTATAAATTCATGCTCCGGGAGGCATAGTCCTGCCCACTTTACGACTTGGACTCTCGAAAGACGGCAAAGAAGAAAGAACTTCACTGAGGAGGAAATATCGTTGGCCTGCTGATAAAACCTCGTATCTACAATTTGATAAGAAACAAAAACTTGTATGTCCACGATAATAACACAAACATTGCAAAATACAAAATTTTATTGATTGGATACATTCTTGGAAGAAAAATAGTCATCCTACCCGAACACAGCTCAAGTGCATTCTTACATGCAAAATTAAACTTTTTTTTTTTTTTTTTTTGCTCGCCTGCAAAGTTTATCAAGGCTGTAGTAACAAGGCTGCCACCGTTACAGCTGCAGTAGACATTAAACTCTTAAATTTTCTTGACTGGATGTATGCTTGACATTTTTGCCCACTCGAATGTTTCTCTGGGTACCCAAAAGTCAAGATAAGTTGAAAGTACTGATCTCAGTTCAAACTGATGACGGATGAAAACGGAATTATTTCCAACACTAATATCCGAACTGTCACTTACTCGCTACTGGAAAGCATAAGGAACTGATCGAATTACCCAGCGCAAAAAGAAAGATAATTCCCTTCCTATGACCGAATAATAAAATGCGAAAACTTAGCAAAATGTCATGTTAGAAATTATTGAAAATAACTTGCGACTTACCCGACAGAAAGTGAATAGTACAAACACGCGAGTGGGTCGACGGTACCCAGTTCTTTCGTCAAATTGAATTGATCCAAGCGGATTTTTTGGTTCTTGTTCAGGAATACGAAGGAAATGTATTCCTGAGCCTTTAACGAATTGGTTTGTGCAGTTAATTATGCTGCAACTAACTGACATTATTACAGAAAGTGGAAGACAACTGTACTTTGCCTATTAAATAAATTGTAATGTTGAGGCTTTTTGCCAACCACACTAGTCAACAAACCCACGTGACCAGGTTCGTGACATCACGAGAACTACTGCTATTCAGAGACTGCCGAATCGGTTCCACAACTGCAGGATGCCAAACTTCCCCGTTTTGTTGTAATGATTTACGTTTGTTCTTGCCAACCACACTAATGCGCATGTCTGAATATGACGTCAATGTTAGTAAACAAGAACTAGTCCTATAAGCGTTGCCAAGAAAAAAACCAGGGGCCTATTGCACAAAGGCAGGATAAGGGATTAGCCCAGGATCGGCACGGGATTAGCCTGATCTCAAGCCCCATTTCGGTTGCACAGAGCGTGTGAGCTAAGCCATGGCACTAGTTACTATGGAAACAAAGTCTGTGGAGCTAGCCAGCACCGAGCAAGCTTATTTAACTAGCTAAGCTCCTGTCTGCAGCCAATTTCACCTCTCCTCATTCAGCAGTCGCCCAAATTGAAAATCAACGTCCTTAACAGTCATTCTGAATTGTCCACTACACGTTGCTATCTCAATTATAATAGGCCCAGAGTAATTATTTCAGAAACTTGTGACCATTGATGTCAGTAAAATAGCCAATATTCGATCATTATGTTCAAGTAGGCCTATCCATGTGACAGTGACCATCACAGTTAAATCAGTCCCCCTTCCATGTCACATTTTAACCATATTTAGAATCCGTCATTATCGGATTTGTCCTTATTCCCCAAGTTGAGACTTCCATCAGAGTAGAAAATGAGCAGTGCTGCATGAAGTAGGTTACCGTGTTTCAGCGCGGTCTTAAATCGCTGCGGTAACCCCCAACCTACAGCACTGCTGCTACTTTTCTCCGTCTTTATTCAGACTGCGACGGGTAAGGTAGAGTCGTTGCCTTAATGCTGGACACGAGTGCAATGTCGCTCGCTTCGCGATACTGGAATCAAACATTTTAAGGAGGCTTCTTGACGTAATTTTCTGACGCAAACATTCTACTTTTAAATTTGAGTATGTCTTCATCAGAGGTGATTAATAGCAGCAAGTAAACTCAACTAATCTGACAACGTCTTCTAGATCGGACTTTTATTCAGTTCGTACAGGACAAAAAACACCTATACCGCGCTTGCGAGACCTAAGTGACACATGTATTCATTTCCATGATCCTATTTTTTGTAATTTTACCATCACAGATACAACGTACTACACACAAACTCGATTTCTTTGCGGGTTTGCGAGACTATAAATATGTCTGACAGCGACGGCTTATCTCGTTCACGGTAACGCTGAAATGCATCAGCAACTCCTTTTTGACGGCGCTGAAACACCTCCCGAGTTTACTCTCATTTGAGTTAGCTAACTTTAATACTCCTCTCAAACGTATCGCACCATTCAGACAGAAACTACAGGAATAGCAAGCAGAAGCATTTCAGCGATCCCATCGTCCCTCTGTTGGAACGTGGTCTTGGAGTGTTGCTGGCGCATACATTTGCTGCAGCTACTTAGTGTCCATGGTGATGATCAGCGATTCTGTGATCGATCTGGGGGTCTATTTGAGGTAGCCAAGTGCGCGCACTCAGCAGGATCAGCGACAACGGGCTTCACTTAGCCAATTCTCCTCCATCCGCTGCTGGCTTTGTGCAATCAATTAAGCCAGCCACGCGCTGTTTGGGATATGGCAATCCTCGCTTTGGCGTTGATCCAGGATCTCAAGATCCGACTTTTGTGCAATAGGCCCCAGCTTTGGGCTCGCATATAAGTGCGAATAACATCGGCCTTAATAAATTCAATTTATAGATCCATGATATTTCATGTTACATAGCCTACATAATTGACAATCCAAATGCTTTACATGTAGGTTAAAAAGACGTGGTCCGATTTTAAGATCGCCACCAAAAAACGGGTTGCTGCACTAAGGTGCAGCAGCGCACGGACCGGTGGAGGCCAACCAGACTCGAACCTTCAGCGGTCACCGTTTGAGGAGCGCGTGGCAGCAGGGCTCCCAAGGCGGTGGGCACACGGATGAGTCCCCACCGCCTCGATTGGAGCTGCATGAGGGTAATTGTTCAAATACAGTCTGCAGAGATCACTCTTCATTGTACTTTTATTAGTATTACTCCATGACATTTTATTGGGTGCCACACAAAATGAGCAGCCACTCGTCACTTTCCCGGAGGAGATCTTCTTTGTACCAAAAGTTCCTCTCACGTCGGACTGAAGCTTATTCCTCTAACAATAGAAGATCTGCCATTGTCAAAATGTGATCACGGTCAAAGTGTCCGTAGGCCTATATATACTGAGCAACAAAAGAAACGCAAGTTAGCTAGTGTACTCTAACCCAAACAGCACAGCGACGTTTGGGGAAACGTAGATGCTATGTAGCACAAAGATAGTTTGCCCATTGGCACGATGTTGCGGCGACGTCACTTACCGCTGCTCCGCCGACGTTCCGGCGCTCTCTGCGCGATCTTCACCCTACGGGGGAATGCTGTCTATCCTACACATTGCCTACGTAATTTGTACTTTACAGAGCCCTTATATAACCTTTGCCAATATGGCAATATTAATAATAGGCCTATATATTAGCCTATTATATTATATTATATTATTGGATTATGCTTAATATGCTTAAAATATTAGAACTGACAAATACACATAGATAGATGGATGAATTTATTTGTCATCATTAAAAAAAATAAAATAAAAAAACTAACGCCTCCTTGGGTGCAGCCTATCATTTGCCAGGCAGAGCCACTCCTGGAGGATCTTGTTGACCTCTGCCTCGGAGCAACGATGGGTCCCGTTGCGCAGTGCGGGTGCTGGGAATGTAAGGATTTTTAGGTAAGTTTTAATTGCAATGTAATGCATCAACAACCCACAGATAAGCACTGTTTCAAAATGTTAGTATTTTAAACCTCGTTTTATGCTGTAATTATAGAAACAGCAGAAGAAGCGATTTCCGCTGATTTTACGTGGTACTTGGTCGAGACTGGTGACTGTTTTCTAACGGTTAACTTGCATTGCTGGAGACAGGTAATTATTTTAAATTTTATTAGAAAATTGTGTCAATTTGTCCCAAACCTGATGCTTATAACGTTTTTATTAATATGCAGAGTTGTGTGAATTAGTTTTTTACATGCAATGAAACCACATGAGTGAAGCTAGCAAGCACATGGGCCGTCGCACGTCAATGCTAATATGCAATAATATTCAAATTATGCGGGAGGCAAGAAAATGGGTTTTAACCCATTTAATCCCATTGGTCACAATAGTGACCGTAATATTCTTTTCAATTCTAAGGCTCAAAAAAGGTCATCCATTGATGTAGCAGTGCATTTCCAGTAAATATTGAATCAACAAAAGTTTGTTTAGTGTAAATTGTCAAATGACCAGAGCTGTTTACATCCTGGTTGCACCATGAGAAGAAGATGACAGTGGCACGGTGGCGTAGTGGTTAGCACTGCTGCCTCACAGCAAGAAGGTCATGGGTTTGAATCCGGGCTGGTGCCTTTCTGTGTGGAGTTTCTATGTTCTCCCCGTGTTCGCGTGGGTTTCCTCCGGGTAATCCGGTTTCCCCCATCCACAAAAACATGCATTATGGTAACACTCCTAACAGGGCCGTCGCAGGGGGTGGTGCCGACTTGATGCGCGAGGCTCTGCTCACATGCATGCACTTAAATCATGTCAGGCTGCAAGCACATAGCTGTTTCAGTTATACCCGGTGAAATGACATGCATTTTTAGACTAAAACAGCATAATTGTGGCAATAATTTCCACTATGATTTTTTGGATATCATAATCTTTCAAAGGAAAAAAATCAACTGCACAACGATTGGCTTTTATCATCAAATCAGCTCAGCTGTCACTTTATATTGGCATGTTGAAGTATTACAGTGCGTCACGAATTACAATTCAACAAACAATAATACCTAATGGCTCACACTCACTGGTGACAATCGCTTATTTTTGTTTCGGTGAAATGACACACGCATTTTTAGACTAAAACAGCATAATTGTGGCAATAATTTCAACTATGATTTTTTGGATGTCATAATCTTTCAAAGGAAAAAAATCAACGATTGGCTTTTATCATCAAATCAGCTCAGCTGTCACCTTATATTGGCATGTTGAAGTATTACAGTGCGTCATGAATTACAATTCAACAAACAATAATACCTAATGGCTCACACTCACTGGTGACAATCGCTTATTTTGACTCATTTCTACGGAAAAATCTCGGATTAACAAAGGCGTAGTATCCGCTGACACCCGCGACAGTTTAACATTTTATTACGATGCAGTATATTTTCTCATACTAGTCATTCACAAACGCTCTGCTGCAGTATAACTTCAAAACATCAGATTCCCGCTCACCATTCATTGATTAGGTGATTGTCACTTTCCTTGCCTTTTGGGCTGCAAACTCAGCAATTAAATCCTTATAATCCAGCCTGGATGCAACGTCTTTCTCGATAGACAGAAGGGCAAGCCCACATAGTCTCTCCTGCGACATGGAGGTCCGAAAATAGTTTTAAATTAGTTTTAACTTTGAAAAGCTTCGCTACCCCGATGCCAATTATTAATATCGTCAATAAGACCCTGAGAGCAATCTCACAGTTAGGAAAGGCAAGTGAGCAGCGAGACAGAGCATGTTACGTATGACGACATAAAATAAAAAAAAAAATAAATAAAAAAAAGATCAGGGTGAGCTTTTATCAAGATGAAATGGTAAATAATGAGGCTGACACAGAGAATTGTCATTTTAGGAGCATGATGAGTCAAGTGCAGTGATGCAAAATATGTATTCATTTATTTAAAAAAAAAAAAAAAAATTACACACCAGCCGCGAGGCCCCCTGAAGGCGCGAGGCCCTGTGCGGTCGCACACTTGGCACAGCCCATGCGACGGCTCTGACTCCTACCAGTACCCCTGACCAAGGTACTGGCTTTCGAACTGGAGTTGATCCCCGGGCGCTGCTCAATGGCTTCCCACTGCTCCTAACAATAGCATGGGTCAAATGCAGAGGACAAATTACCCCACGGGGTTCAATAAAGTGTATCTTATCTTATCTTATCTTATCTTGACAGCAACAAAAGTGACCCGGTGGGATAATGTGTTGTTTTGTGAATTAACATATTTCTCCCATCAGGCCGGCCCGTGGCATAGGCAGTATAGGCAAATGCTAGGGGCGCTAACCGTCCTGAGGGGCACAGCGCCGGTGCGCCCAAATGGGGATCAATATGACTTGTCTGAGTCTGACTCTGACCGCAGATTCTACCTTGCCTATCGGGCCCCCGCGCATGTGCACATGGCCGCGACCCCACGCTGTCCGCATGCTGTTTGCATCTGACCTCCCCTCTCAGCAGCTTTGAGCTTGGCTGAGGATGAGTGGCTGGTCAGCAGGCTACACCCAACGGTTTTTAAATAACGTTATGTCAAAAAGACCAAAGCTCTCCGGTGCTCAAGAGCGAAAGAGAAGGAAAGAACAGGAGGAAAAATGTGAAGAAGACCGAGGTAACGTCATGTGTGATAAATGTATAGTAATGTATATTGACTTCATTTGCATTATGTTGTTAATCTCTCAGTTAACGCTAACGTTAACTTAGTGTAACATGGCTGGCCGCTTTGAACAATAGTGATATTTAGCAACTTTGTAGAGGTTTGAGGAAAATGAATTTTCAGAAATGGGAGTTAATGTAACGTTAAGTGACGTTATTCAGACACTGCATTGGCTGCCTGTTTTATAGTGTTTGTTATCAAGAACATTTTGGCGTCTATTCAGAGATCATATTTAGGCCTATATTATGTAGCTAACTACTACAGTACTAGCCTACTACACTGCTGCTGCTGCTGTTTTACCTAAATAATATCTATTAAGTATGTATAGTTACATGCAGAAAATAAACAAATTTTCCAAAAGGAATAAATGAAGTACCTTCACTATTTATTTTTATCGACATTTAGCTGGACAACGTCATCCCTGATTGTCAATAAACCCTAATCCTAGTCCTGCTGTGTACATGAATGATAGGCAAAGACTTAACTGTGGCAGTCACAACAGTTTTTGTTTTGATGTCAGAACATCAAAAGTCACAACAATAATATAAATTACTATAAATCAGATGTTGCAGCTGCCTCCACATGCAGAGGTGATTGTAGCAGCATAAAGAAGCAATTGTAGTAACACAATCATGCCTACATTCATCTCGCAAGAATGTAAATATTAGGTAAACAAAGTAATGAACAATGAATGATTAATTGCAATTAAATTACAATGACATGCTCAATCATAATTATACAAACATAAATCGGTATTTTTTTTTTTTTAAAAAAGGCTCCATCTTTCCCCTCCTCAACATTAAAGAATAGTTAGAGACATGAGTAGATCTTTGGCAGGCAGAGAGAGATCATCACAGACTATGTGCATAATGAATTTTATGTGCAACTTGCCTGCTACAAGTACAAATATGGGTGGGGAAATTGGCAATAATTCTAAGGGGCGCCAGCTAAAATCTTGCCTAGGGCACCAAACTGGCTAGGGCCAGCTCTGTCTCCCATGTAGACATCAAAATTCTTTTATATTCTAGCAGAGTTATTAACACTTATGTTACACATTCAAAACACCATCACTGGAAGTTCCCAGCATTTCCACTTAAATGCTCTATTGCATTCTTGTGTGACTGTTTTATGTATCAAAATCCCTTATTCTGAGAGGAAAGAAAAAATAATCGCCATATTTCAACTTTATTGTAACATACATTGTAACATTGTTTCTTTAGTGCAACATATATTGAAAGTTCAATATTGTTTTTGTTGTACCATTTGAACTTGCTTTTTTTTTTTTGCAATATTCGTTGTAATATTGTCATAGTAACATGTGCTACATTCGCTTACGAATGTGATTCTGTGTTTGATTCACATTGAACTTAAAGGTAACATTTAGGATAGAGATAACTTGTAGAATAAGCATTCAACTAGAGGCGAATGCATATATCTAGGCTACTTCTTTTCTAAATGTTACCTTTGTGTTCAATGCAAATGAATGACAGTAGGTCTGACCAATTTTAGGACAAAACAGTGATGCACAAACTAATCGTGCACTTGGTTCTGAAGCTTACCTCTTGGGTATATAATTCTTTGTTGTTTACTGAAGGCTTCTACAGTATCTCACAAAAGTGAGTACACCCCCCACATTTCAGCAAACATTTTATTATATCTTCTCAAGGGACAATACTATAGAAATGAAACTTGGATATAACTTAGAGTAGTCAGTGTACAGCTTGTATAGCAATATGGATTTTCTAGCCACTGGAAATTACTCAACACTCAGCCATTATTGTTTTAATAGCTGGCAACACATGTGAGTACACCTCTACTAATACCTGTACATTTTGTACGAACATGCAGCACGGTGGCCAAGGTCATATAGCAAGACGATATAATAAAATGTTTGCTGAAATGTGAGGGGTGTACTCTAAGAACTTCAATGTGAATCAAACACAGAATCACATTTGTAAGCGAATGTAGCACATCACAATGACAATATTACAATGAATGTTGCAAAAAAAAAAAAAAAGCAAGTTCAAATGGTACAACAAAATACAATATTGAAGTTTCAATATATGTTGCACTAAAGAAACAATGTTACAATGTATGTTACAATAAAGTTGAAATATGGTGATTATTTTTTCTTTCCTCTCAGAATAAGGGATTTTGATACGTAAAACAGTCACACAAGAATGCAATAGAGCATTCAAGTGGAAATGCTGGGAACTGCCAGTGATGGTGTTTTGAATGTGTAACATCAGTGTTAATAACTCTGCTGGAATATAAAAGAATTTTGATGACTACATGGGAGAAATATGTTAATTCACTATACAACACATTATCCCACTGGTCACAATGGTGACCAAGCATAAAACACACTTTCACCCACTTTTCCATGAAAGTAAAAAAAAAAAAAAAAATTATGGATTATTTAAAAGGGTTACTAATGACACATGATTTGGATATTTTCATGTGTGGGAAAATTTTGGGATTAAATGGGTTAACGTTACAATTGGGCCGTATCCACGGAGGCCCGATTAGCATCCCGCTCAGTAACTAACGCCATGCTCCATTTTATAACAATGTGAACCACTTGCTAGTGTGTTTGTTAGGAAGAGGTCAGGGGGACACCAGATGCAGGATCCAAAGTGTTTATTAAAACACAAAACACTAGAAAATGGGCACACAGGCCAGAAACAAAACACCGTGCACATGCACTGAACGATTGGGAAAACTAAGATACACTGCCAAAGGCAGAGGGAAACAGAAATACTCAATCCAAGAGCGGATAAACTAGAAAAACAAAAACTGAACCTAACTACACTGACGGAAAACACTGGGAGACATAGACAAGGGGCAGACAAGACGTGGGCGCAGCAAAATACAAGACTCGGGAATAGCACAAGGAAATACTCGGGAAGGCACAGGAGCTGAGATTTCGCAGAGCAGAGTCTAGCAAAGTT